CTGAACACTCTGTAGTGATGAGAAGGCAAGCCAGGTGCAGCCCCTTAGGCAATGCAGCGACCCCACCCTTGACTTTTGTAATTCCCATTCAGAGGAACTAGGCAATCCCAAAATGCTGGGAGGCTTATCATGTATAAAAGGCATCTGGAATCTAGGCTGGGGGCTCAGCCTTTGGAGTTGACTCAACTGAGAGCACCAATGTGCATTAAACAGTCCTTTTCTAATCCTCCGAGTGCATGCAGTCTGTCTCTTCCCGCCGACCAAATTTCTGCCACAACACCCCCACTGATCAAATTCAAAGGGGATATAAAAGAACTGGAAAATCAAAAACAACTACAAGGACTAGGAGAAACCATTCTTGAGGTACATAACTGGGTAACAGATAGAATACTCATTTCCCTGGGAATAACTCTACACCCCCCCCACAGACCAGGGGACCGAGTCTGGATAAAAGACTGGAAAAGGGAACCCCTCAAACCAACCTGGAAAGGGCCTGTTTAGTTGTACTGACCACTCCCACAGCTCCCAAGCTTGCAGGTCTGAATACCTGGATCCACCACTCAGGGGTGAAGGCAGCTCACCTGCCACACGACAACCAACCTGCCTGGAGAGTGACCACTAGCGAGTCTCTACAGGTCTCCCTTAGGAGGACAGTAAAACCTGCTGATCTGCCTACGCTAAGAGCCTGAGGACTCTGCCAGTAGACTTGATGGCCATCACCTGCTGGACTGGTCCCAGCACTGGACTCTGTATCCTTAGCAGCCTTACAGGATCAAGTAGACTCCTTAGCAGCAGTAGTATTACAAACAGAAGGGGTTAGACCTGCTGATTGCTGAAAAGGAAGGAATATGCTGCTTCTTAAATGAAGAATGTTGCTTTTATGTTAATCTGTCAGAAATAGAGACATGGCCCAGCACTTAAAGGAATAAATACTGGGCATCTTGGGTACTCCCATTAGCTGGTCCTCTCTTAATGCTTTTTATAGTGCTCCTGTCTGGCCCTTGTATTCTCAACATGCTAACCTGTTTCATTTCAACTAAGGACACCCCACTACTCTCCTCTGGACAGTGAAGAACTCTAGCTGATGCATCCCGCCCCTTCAACGCTCCTATTCAGCAGGAAGCAGTCAGAGAGATCGTCGCCCCTCTTCATCATGCGGCACTAAGGGAACTCCCTGTCCAAGATGTTCTCTAAGTCTGCTAGGAGCAGCTTGAGAATCAAGAGGGGAGAATGAGAAGGCAAGCCTTCTGTAGACAACCCCCTTAGCTCGCAGTGCAGAGACCCCACCCCTGGTTTTTGTAATCCCCTTATATCCACCAACCACCTAAACTACAGTGGAACTAGAAAGCCCCCAAATACCCAGAGGCTTATGTATAAAAGGTGGCTGGAACCTGGGCTCGAGGCTCATCCTTTGGAGGTGACTCTGCTGGGCCAGCACCATTGCACATTAAACAGTCATTTTCTAATGTTCCAAATGCATGCAGTCTGTCTCTTCCCACTGACCGAATTTCTACCACAACACTTATGTTGACATTTACTTGGCCTAGTGCAGCAGGACTCCAAAGAAGCTCACCCAGGACCACCCCGTGGACATAGATCTGGTGCTAGGATCCAGAAAAGGGCCCACTGAGCCCGCTGGCTCTCCACCCATCAGGTGAACCTGGGTGAGTTGTCTCTTGGATCCAGGACCTTCCATTGCTTGTGGTATGGGGTCTGACTTTATCTGAGCTGTTCCTAAAGAATCCTCAAGGTGGCGCTAAATAATAGGAGTTGAGATGGATGGATGGTTTTGATTTTGGATTTTCAATTGGAATTATTGAACAGCAGTATGAACAAAGCCTTTTGTTGAAATGAGAGCCTGAACTCGAGCTCTGTGGAGGTGTCAGAGGTCATTCCTCATGACAGGCAGGGGCCCTATAGGGAAATTCCAACTCAACTATAATTAAACAATTGAATCGTCCAGAGACACTCATACAAAGGTTGGTCACCAAGTGCTCCGCGCCCTCACCACTGTATTAGATAGCCAGGGAGAGAAACTGAGACACACATCAGAGGGTTAAATGCAACTCAAGTGGGGAGAGCTTCATAGAGCTCAACCCATAAGCAGCACACTTCAACCCTCTGCATAGCATCCCTAGAAAATTTGCAGATATAAAAAAAAAAAAGTATAATTAACATAAGAAGTTGTGTCTCCAAGGCCGAAACTCCCAGACCTCAGCCCTAATTAATACTCCTGATAGGAAGCCTTTACTTGCAAGTGCTTTACAAATGTTGGAAGATTTAACTAGAACTAATAGCAACTTAAAATGGCCAAAATACAGTTGTCTTTGTATGCCTAAATTAATTTTTTGCATACAAAAAATTTGAAATAATGTTAGCTCAAAAATTAAACTGAATAACCCTGGCAGAGTAGTTCAGTTTATTAGAGCAACTAAGGTTATGGGTTTGATCCCCAGGTCAGGGCACATACAAGAAATAAAAATTTAAACTGAATGAATGAATGAATGGAAAGTGTATCTTGATTTGGAAATTAGAAATTCTAAGAGAAGCACAGATAAATTTTTTTTTAACTTTTTTTTTTTTTTAGAGAGAGAGAAAGGGACAGATAGGGACAGATAGAAACATTGATGAGAGAGAACATCAATTGGCTACCTCCTTCATTCCCCCCACTGGAGATTTGGCCCACGACCTGGGCATGTGCCCTGACCGGTAATCGAACCGGCGACCTTTTGGTGCATGGGTCAATGCTCAACCACTGAGCCACACTGGCTGGGCACACAAATAAATTTTTTTAAATTAATAAGAAATTTTAGAGACTGTGAACTAAAGAAGGCTTCTGAAGCTAATAAATGTCTATACCCCATTCCTCCTCCTATAGCTTCTCCACTATATCCTTTGTTCTCTGAGCTTCCAGGTCTGGACTTGCCCTTTCCCTCCCTTCTATCTCCTTCACGACCACTCCCTACCAACTTAAGCAAAAATGAGAATAGGAATTCTTACAACTCTCTTTGGAGAAAAGCTGGTCTCAGCCAGAGAGGAAACAGCAATTGTCCCCTGATTTTCTCTGGGACCCTGATCAGCTCATAAAGAAATTTAACTGTTAGAACATGTAATCTTGGCTATTGTAACCTATTCCAATTGATATACCTACTGGTTTCTGGACACAAAAGCCACGTAATTACTATATAAGGTTCACAGGAAAAACCCTTGTAGAGAAGTCTGTCCACCAGTACAGAAGAAAAGGAATGTTGTTCTAAGAAAGTGTAAAACAAAGAAACATAAGATAGATTGTGCGGTAAAGAAGTTTTCTTTGAAAATGTAAAGCTTTGCCTGAGAACCGAAGGATAAGGGGCAGTCAACCCAAGACCCTGCAGCAAAGGAGAGGTCTGAGGGTGAAGGTATTATTTATTTATTGACTCTTTAGAGAGTTAAGAAGGGAGAAGGAGAGAGGAAGAGAAACATCCATGTGAGAGCAAAACATCGATTGGCTGCCTCCTGCATGCCCTCTACAGGGGATGAGCCCACAACGCAGGCATGAGCCCTGACCAGGAATTGAACTGGGACCTCTCAGTCCATGGGACTGAGCTCAATCTACTGGGCCACACCAACCAGGGCTACTTTATCTGTTCTTAACCACACCTAACTAAGCTGGTGTCGTTTCTGTGCAAATGGTAGGGATATCTAATTATAGCAATTTGGAAAATAATGATTTTAAGGAAACCCCCCTCTACAAGACGAAGTTAACACTTGTTACAGGACTTTCCAATGCAACCTCAGGCCTTTTTCAGTCACCAATATCCCTAGTACACAAGCTGGAATTAAGCCAAATATTTAAGATTGCTTTTTATAAGGGACTTATAATTCCATGTACAAGCCCCTGTAATTCTCTTATCCTTCCAGTAAAGAAACCAAATGGAAAAAAATGGAGATTTGTACAAAATCTCAGAGCTATAAATAAGCTAGTCATTCCCAGATATTCTGTAGTTCCACCCACATACCTTTTTATCAGCCATGCCTGTGGACTGCCAATACTTTTCTTCAAAAAATTTTTTTTCTTCTTCGTTGATTTGAGAGAGAGAGAGAGGAAAGGAGAGGGAGAGAGAGATAGAAACACTGATGAGAGGGAATATCGATTGGCTGCCTCCTGCATACCCCCACTGGGGATTGGGCCCACAACCTGGGCATGTGCCCTGACTGGGAATTAAACTGGCAACCTCTTGGTGTATGGGTCAATGCTCAACCACTGAGCCACACCAGCCGGGCAGACTGCCAATACCTTTCAATAATAAGTTCACGTAATGCCTTTTTCAGCATTCCAGTAGAAAGACGGTCAATACCTCCTTGCTTTCACCTGGGAAGATGACAAATTTACTTGGATAGTAATTCCCCAGGGAGATTGTCTTAGACACTATAAGGTAATTTTAATGATGTTAAACTTTCTATACATTCCAGTCTGATCCAATATGTGAATACTTAATTTTATACTCCAGAAAAGTACTATATTCCCCAAAAGACACAATACGTCTATCACAAAAGCTAGGTATAAATGGACACAGATATGAAATAAGCAGCTCTGATTCTGTTTACCCAGGTAAACTACTTTGGTTATGTAATATCTAAAGATGGGATATTAATTAACTCTGAAAGACTGAAGAATCCTGTCTTTCCTCTTCCAAAAAAATACAGCAAGAAAGCAGCATAGAGGATTCCTGAATTTGATGGAATATTGTCACCATTGGTTTCCAAATTTTTTATTAATGGGACAGCCATGACATATCTTATTAAAATCAAATTGACCTACCAGCTTGTGATGGGCAGGGGCTGCTTGGAGCTGGCATGCAGCATATTAGAAGACATAAAGGGGTCCTCAGACCACAAAGCCTGAGAACTACTGAATTAAAGAATTACCTTCAGAGGGATATAAAAATGGTGGGGGAGTGAATGGAAGCTACACAGACTGTCTCCCAGGACCAAACTGGAGTTTCAACTAAAAGAAAGACATGTCATCTGGAAAACCAACTGAAGAGCAGCTGGAAAGAGCCCTTATAAGCAGGGACATCAAGAGGACCTCACACCGAGACTGGTAGGAGCTGTGGAGGCGTGAGAGGGCTGTCTCAGCTGTGAGCAGTTCCCTCTGAGAAGTGGGGGGTTGAAAGCCCTGCCAGCTCCCCAGCACAGAGGGGCAGAGCAGGGAAAGGTGCCCACATAACACCTGGCTGAGAAAATCACCGGAGCAGGGGTTTTGTCCAGCAAGGAACACCAACACTTCCCTGAAGGGCCAGTGCACTAAATTACAGCTACAGCCACTCACCTTGGGCTCCAGCAGATGGAGGACAGACTGGGCTGAAGCTGTGTGAGGAGAGTCAGGGGTTCGTGGTACTGTGGAGAGAGCTGAGAAGGAGGCCATCAGGAACTCTATGCTGAGTGACTCCCCCACAGGACAGTAGCCATTTTACTCTAAGAGCCCCCTCCCAGAGCACCAAAGCCTGGGGGAGAAGCAACTGCCCCTCCCTTGGGAATTTAACATTACCTGTCCCAGAGAAGTGCAACCTGAGGCTCGTTAACAGCTAGAGACAACCTGCCAACCAGTAGGAAGAGAAAAGCCTCTGAAAGCTTTGAACTTTGGTCCTGGCTGTCAGTGGTGAGGATCATGGCTCTGAGGACTGAGCTGTGAAGGCTGAGGCCTGAGTGTCAATGCTGAGCCCTTCCCTCATCCTTCATTAGCCATCTCAGTCAAGTAGACCCATTAGAGTTGCTTTAGCTTGAGGGAGAAGCAACTGCCCCTCCCTTGGGAATTTAGCATTACCTGGCCCAGATAAGTGAAACCTGAGGCTCATTAACAGCCAGAGACTACCAGCAAGCCAGGATGCAGAGATGAGATTCTGAAGGCTTTGAATCTTGGGCCTGACCCTTGGTGTTGGGTGTCTTGGCTCTGGGGACTGAGCTGTGAAGGCTGAGGCCTGGATCCCTGCACTGAGCCAATAACCCACACTCCAGAAACCACTTTCTTCTCGAAGCAACTTTACCCCAAGGGGAAAAAATTACCCCACCCATTGGAAATCCTCTTACCCTGTCCACCTGAGGGTTTTTCCATTCAGGTGAGGGCTACAACCTGAGGCTCATTAAGTAACTAAGACTAATAGCCTGCAGGCATAAGCTCGTGGATAATTGAATTTTTGCTTGGCCTCTGACTCTACCCAGAAAAGTAAGACTAGACATTGGTATTTAACAAGGTCCCTTCCATACTCATCCAAACCTAGTAGAGGGAGCCACAATCAGCAGAACACTGACACTCACAGGGAAAATTTGGAAGGCTACAAAATATGCTGAGACAGCCAAAATGGTGAAACACAAACCAATCCCAAATGAAAGAACAAGAGAGTTCAACAGAAGGGATACATGAAATGGGATTAAGCAAATTATCAGAGGTAGAGTTCAGAGTCATAATTATGAGGAAGCTTAACAGCAAAAGTAAAGATATAGAAACAATGAAAATCAACCAATTGGAAATGAAAAAACACCAAGCAGAAATGAAAAATGACATAGCAGAAATAAAGAACACATTGAAAGGAATAATCAGCAGATTAGAGGAAGCTGAGGATCGAATCAGTGAATTAGAAGACAGGGTAGAAAAACTCATCCAATCAGAGAACCAAAAAGAAAAAAAAATTATAAAATAGGAGGACAGTTTAAGAGAGTTGTGGGACAATATGAAATGTAACAATATCTACATCATAGAAGTTCCAGAAGGAGAATAAAATGAGCAAGGGTTAGAGAATATATTTGAAGAAATAGTGACAGAAAACTTCCCTAACTTGGTGAAGAAAAAAGACATGCAAGTTCAGGAAACACAGACAGCCCCAAGTAAGAAGAGCCCAAACAGGCCTACACCAAGACACATAATAATTAAAATGCCAAAAATCAAAGACAAAGAGAGAATCCTAAAGGCAGCAAGAGAACAGCAACAGATTACCTACAAAGGAGCCCCATAAAGCTATCAGCTGGTTTCTCAACAGAAATACTACAGGCCAGAAGGGAATGGCATGAAGTATTCAAGGTAATGAAAAACAAGGATCTGAATCCAAGATTACTCTATCCAGCAAGGTTATCATTCAAAATAGAAGGTAAAATAAAGAACTTCCTGCCCTGGCTGGTTTGGCTCAGTGGTTAGAGTATCGGCCTGCAGTCCAGAGAAACCCGGGTTCAGTTCCCACTAAGGGCACGTATCTCGGTTTCACTTTGCCCCTGGCCTTGGTTGGTCGTGCAGGTGGCAACCACTCGATGTGTCCCTTTCACATTGATGTTTCTCTTTCTTCTTCTTCTTCTCCTTCTTCTTCTTCTTCTTCTTCTTCTTCTTCTTCTTCTTCTTCTTCTTCTTCTTCTTCTCCTCTCTCCCTCCCTCCCACTCTATCTGAACAAAAATTGGAAAAATATCCTTGAGTGAGGATAAAAAAATAAATAATAAATAAAATAAAATCTTTATTTAAAAAAAAAGAACTTCCCAAACAAAAAAAAAGGCTAAGGGAATATATTAACACCAAACCAGCACTACTAGAAATGTTAAAAGGACTGCTGTAATAAGCAGCAGAAATAGAGAGAGAAACATAGCCATAATAAATAAAAATGGCAATAAATAGTACATATCAATAATAACCTTAAATGTAGCTAGATTAAATGCTCCAATCAAAAGATACAGAATAGATGAATGGATAAGAAAGCATGACTCAAAGAAAAAAAATTTTCCAAGCAAATGAAAATGAAAAAAAAAAAAAGCTGGCATAGCAATACTCATATCTGATAAAATAGACTTTAAAATAAAGGCCATAATAAGAGACAAAGAAAGCCACTACATAATATTGAAAGGATCTATCCAACAGGATGGTATAATCTTGGTAAATGTATATACACCCAACATAGGAGCACCTAAATATATTTTTAAACTTCTGGAGGACTTCGAAGGAGAAAACGACAGCAATACAATTATAGCAGGAGACTTCAACATCCCACTGACATCACTGGATAGATCCTATAGACAAAAAATTAACAAGGATACAGAGACTCTTTAGAGTCTTATGATGCACTAGATCAAATGGATTTAATAGATATCTGCAGAGAATTACATCCCAAAACTAGAGAATTCACATTCTTCTCAAGTGCACATGGGACTTTCTCAAAGATAGACCACATGTTAGGACACAAACTAAGTCTCTACAAGTTCAAGAAGATTGAAATCATATCAAGCATCATCTCAGATCACAATGGCATAAAACTAGAAGTTAATTACAATAAAAACACTGAAACACATGGAGGCTACCTAGCATGTTATTGAACAATGAATGGGTTACCGATGAGATCAAGGAAGAAATAAAAATATTCCTGGAAATCAATGAAAATGAACACACAACAACACAAAATCTATGGGATGCAGTGAAAGCAGTCCTGAGAGGAAAGTTCATAGCACTATAGTCCTACCCTGAGAAACAAGAAAAATTTCTAATAGACTATCTAACCCTACAACATAAAGAACTAGAAAGTAAACAAAAGGAAAAACCCAGAGCAAATAGGAGAAAAGAAATAGTAAAAGTCAGAGTGGAAATAAATGACATTGAGAATAAGAAAACAATTTAAAAGATCAATGAAACAAAGAGCTGGTTCTTTGAAAAGATAAATAAGATTGATGAACCTTTAGCCAGACTCACCAAGAAACAAAGAGAGAGGACCTAAATAAACAAAATCAGAAAGGAAAGAGGAGAAGTAACAACTGACGCCACAGAAACACAAAGGATTGTTTAAAAAAATACTATGAACAATTATACACCGACAAATTGGACAATCTAGGTGAAATGGACAAATTTCTAGAATCACACAGTCTCCCAAAACTGAACCAGGTAGAGACAGAAAACTTGAACAGACCAATAACAACTAAGGAAATTGAAGATGTAATCAATACACTGCCAGCAAACAATAGCTGGGGCCCAGACAGCTTCACAGGGAAGTTTTACTGCACAGCATATTTCACAGACCCATTCTCTTCGAACTAGTCCAAAAAGTGCAAGAAGCAGGAAGACTTCCAAACTCTTTTTGTGAGTCTAGTATAATCTTAATTCCAAAACCAGATAAAGACACTACAAAGAAAGAAAACTACAGGCCAATGAACCTGATGAACATAGATGCCAAAATCCTTAACAAACTATTAGCAAATTGGATCCAGCAATACTTAAAAAAATTATTCACCGTGACCAAGTGGGATTCATCCCAGGGATGCAAGGCTGGTACAATATTCACAAATTAAGAAATGTGATACACCACATAAACAAAATAAAAGATAAAAATCATATGATCATATCAATAGATGCTGAAAAAGCATTTGACAAAATCCAACAACAATTTCTGATAAAAATGCTCAGTAAAATGGCAATAGAGGGACCATATCTCAAAATAATAATGGCCATATAAGAAAGACCTACAGCCAACATCATACTCAATGGGCAAAAACTAAAAGCATTTCCCTTAAGAACAGGAACAAGACAAGGATGCCCACTTTTGCCACTTTTATTTAACATAGTACTGGAAGTCTTAGCCACAGCAATTAGACAAGAAGAAAAAAATAAAACGGATCCAAATTGGAAAGGAGGAAGTGAAACTGTCATTATTCACAGATGACATGATATTATACACAGAAAACCCTAAAGACTCCATCATAAGCCTACTAGATTTAGTAAATAAATTTGGCAAAGTAGCAGGATATAAAATTAGCATCCATAAATCAATGGCATTCTTTTTATAAAATATGTTTTTATTGATTTTTTTAGAGAGAGAAAAACATTAATGTGTGAGAGAAATATCAATTGGCTGCCTCCTGCACACCCCCTACTGGGGATCAAGCCCTCAACCCAAGCATGAGCCCTGACCAGGAATTGAACCGGGATGATGCTTAATCCACTGAGCCACAATGGACAGGCAACAACTCAATGGCATTCTTTTTTTTTTTTTAATCCTCACCCGAGGACATTTTTTCATTTTGTTGTTGTTGTTGTTGTTCAGATAGAGTGGGAGGGAAAGAGAGGAAGAGAGAGAGAAACATCGATGTGAAAGGGACACATCAAGTGGCTGCCACCCGCATGACCCAACAAGGGCCAGGACAAACCAAGGTACATCCCCTTAGCAGGAACCAAACCCGGGTCTCTCAGGACTGCAGGTCGACGCTCTAACCACTGAGCCAAACTGGCCAGGGCTCAATGGCATTCTTATACACCAATAATGAACACTCAGAAAGGGAAACTAAAAATAAAATTCCATTTACCATTGCAACAAAAAATAATAAAGTACCTAGAAATAAACTTAACCAAGGAGAAAAAGATATGTTCTCAGCAAACTACAGGACATTGGAAAAAGAAATAGAAGAATATATTAAAAAGTGGAAACATATACCATGTTCATAGATCGGAAAAATCAACATCATTAAAATGTCCATACTAACCAAAGCAATCTACAGATTCAGTGCAATCTCTGTTAAAGTACCAACGGCCCTGGCCGGTTTGGCTCAGCAGTTGGAACTTTGGCCTGCGGGCCAGAGAGTCCTGGGTTCAGTTCTCACTAGGGGCACGTACCAAAAAAACAACAACAACAAAATAATAAAGTACCAATGGCATATTTCACAGATCTAGAACAAATACTCTAAAAGTTTATATGGAACCATAAAAGACCCCGAATAGCCACAGCAATCCTGAAAAAGGAGAACAAAGTGGGAGGAATCACATTACCAGATTTTAAGTTATACTACAAACCCATCATAATCAAAACAGCCTGGTACTGGCACAAGAACAGGCATATAGATTAATTGAACAGAACAGGGAACCCAGATAGTGACCCAAGACAGTATGCACAATTAATATTCAACAAAGGAAGCAAGAATATACAATGGAGAAAAGACAATCTCTTCAATAAATTGTGCTGGGAAAATTGGACAGTTACATGCAAAAAAATAAAACTAGACCACCAACTTACACCATACACAAGAATAAACTCAAAGTGGATAAAAGACTTAAATGAAATCATAAAAATCCCATGAAACCATAAAAATCCTAGAAGAAAATGTAGGCAGGAAAATCTCAGACATTATATGAAGCGGAATTTTCACTGATATAATGCTTAGGGCAAGAGAAACGAGGGGGAAAAGTAATAAATGGGACTACATCAAACTAAAAAGTTTCTGCACAGCAAATAAAATTAGCATCAAAATGAAAAGGGAACCCACTCTCTGGGAGGACATATTTTGCCAACGATACATTGGATAAGGGGTAAATATTCATAATATATAGAGTACTCATACAACTCCACAAAAGGAAGACAAACAATCCAATTAAAAAATGGGCAGAGGACCTGAATAGATACATCTCCAAACAGGACATACAAATGTCCAGGAAACATGTGAAAAAATGCTCAAGAACTCTAATCATCAGAGAGATGCAAATTAAAATGTCTATGAGATATCACCTCACACCTGCCAGAATGGTGACCAACAACAAATCCTCAAACAACAAGTGCTGGCAAGGATGTGGAAAAAGGGGACACAGTACACTGCTGGTGGGAATGCAGACTGGTGCAGCCACTATGGAAAACAAGATGGTGTTACCTCAAAAAATTAAAAATTGAACTTCCATTTGATCCTGTGATCCCACTTCTAGTAATATACCCTATGAAGCCTGAAACATCAATCAGAAAGAATATATGCAGCCCTGTATTCATAGCAGCGCTACTTACAATAGCTAAGATCTGGAAACAGCCCAAGTGTCCATCAGTAGATGGGTGGATAAAAAAGCTGTGGTACGTTTACACAATGGAACACTATGCAGCTATAAGAGAGATCTCTTACCCTTTGAGGCGACATGGAGGGACCTGGAGAGTATTATGCTAAGCGAAACACACCAGTCACAGAAAGACAAGTACCACATGATGTCACTTATTTGTGGAACATAACGAACAAAATTAAGATGTCGACCAAAAGAGATCCAGAATCATGGAAGTAGGGAACAGACTGACAAACGTCAGAGAGGGGGGTGGGAGGGATGGAAAGAGATAAAGCGAAGAACTTATATACATATATGCACAACCAATCAACACAGACATTAGGTTGGGGAAAGCAGAAAGGTGGTGGGAGAGGGAAAGAGGGGGTCAATAGGGAAAAAAGGGGGACATCTGTAAAACTTTGAACAATATAAATAAATAAATAAATAAATAAATAAATAAATAAATAAATAAAATTGACCTGATCCAATCCAGTGGAATCCAGGAGGGACACAAGCTATAAACTCTCTAAAGAAGTATCTATCTAAAGATTCCACTCTGGCACACCTTCATTGTAGAAATCTTAACTAAAAAATAGAGAGAGCCCTGGCCGGTTTGGCTCAGCGGTTAGAGCGTCGGCCTGCGGTCCTGAGAGACCTGGGTTCGGTTCCCGCTAAGGGTGCATACCTTGGTTGCAGTTTGTCCCCGGCCTTGGTCGGTCGTGTGGGTGGCAGCCACTCGATGTGTTTCTTTCACGTCGATGTTTCTCTCTCTCTCTCTCTCTCTGTTCCTCTCTCTCCCACTCTACCTGAACAAAAAATGGAAAAATGTCCTCGGGTGAGGATAAAAAAAAAATAGAGAGAGAGCATCATAGACAGACCTATAGGCTATTATAGTCAACAGCTAGACTCAGTAGCCCAAGGGCTCCCTCTCTGTAGTACAGCCACTTCTGCCATAGGTATGTTGTGCAAACAAACAAACAAAAAAAGATAGTTATGGGTTCTCCTTTGTTTATGTTCTTTATTCTATCAAACATCCACTAAATTCTATTCACATTAAACACTTCTGTCAGTTGACTGGCTCTTGCCTTCTGCATCTAATTGCACTTAGACTGGACATAACACTCTTAACCAAGCAACTTCACTAGTTTCTTTGCAGGACAAAGACATCCATGATTGCGTTTTGCTTACTGACCACCTTCTTGTTCCTAGGAATGGATTATAGAAAACTCTTTAATAATGCTGACTTAATTTGGTTTACAGATGCATATTTAAAGGAAAGGGAGGAATGGTACCCAGCTGGATATTCAGTAACTTCCATGGTGGACACAGTTGAAGGTTCTTATTTACCTGAATAAAATCTGCCCAACAAGCTTCTATCGGTGTAAATATGTCTTTGGTATAGGTCACAACTTTAGATTGTGGTGGAAGCAGTGAGCCTTCTTAGTTTTCTAAGGCAGATCATAAAGAATGGAAAATAGCCCTGGCCGGTTTGGCTCAGCAGTTAGAGCATCGACCTGCAGTCGAGAGAGTCCCGGGTTCGGTTCCTGCTAAGGGCATGTACCTTGGTTGCAGTTTGTCCCCGGCCCTGGTTGGTCATGTGGGAGGCAGCCACTCGATGTGTCTCTTTCACATCGACATTTCTCTCTCTCTTTCACTCTATCTGAACAAAAAATGGAAAAATGTCCTTGGGTGAGGATTAAAAAAAAAAAAAAAGAATGAAAAATAGCTCTGCCAGGTTTGGCTCAGAGGTTAGAGTATCAGCCCGAGGACCGAAGGGTTCTGGTCAAGAGCACATACCTAGCCCTGGCCAGTTTGGCTCAGCGGTTGAGTGTTGGCCTGCGGACCACAGACTCCTGGGTCCATTTCCCGCTAGGGGCACGTACCACCTGAGAGCTGGTTGGGGTTTGAGAAGTCCTGATGTTTTCCAAAGATTCTTCAATCACTCTCTTTCTTCATATGATGAAGGTCAAGGATCTAAATTTATCCGAAAAGCTAGAGAGACACCATTTGTCTCTATGGGAATGGTGGGTTTTGCAGCGATCGTTGCATATGGATTATACAAATTGAAGAGCAGGGGGAATACTAAAATGTCCATTCACCTGATCCACATGCGCGTGGCAGCCCAAGGCTTTGTTGTGGGAGCAATGACTCTTGGTATGGGCTACTCTATGTATAAGGAATTCTGGGCAAAACCTAAACCTTAGAAGAAGAGATGCTGTCTTGGTCTTGGTGATGTTTGCTATCGTTAGACATCTCATATTGAGGTTATATGTTATGTTGAAAATAAATCGTTTGAGTGGGTGGGGGGAAAAAAAAAGAGCACATACCTAGGCTGCAAGTTTGATCCCCAGCCTGGGTCGGGGTCATGCGGGAGGCAACCAATCAATTTGTCTCTCTCACATTGATATTTCTCTGTCTCTCTCTCCCTTCCTCTCTCTCTAAAATATGAATAAAAATATACTATAAAAAAAGTGCCTTTTCTGCCCACACGGTGTGGCTCAGTGTATGAGTGTCGACCCATGCACTAAAAGGTCACTAGTTTGATTCCCAGTCAGGGCACTTGCACAGGTGGTGGGCTCAATCACCAGTGGAGGGCATGCAGGAGGCAGCCTATCATTTTTTGTATCTCTCTCTCCTTCTCCTTTCCTCTCTCTAAAATCAATAAAGAAAAAACATTTTTAAAAAGGAAATAAAGTTAAACAATTGTAAAAAAATAAATAAAAGGGTCTTTTCTATCTTATAGAACTGTTGTTTTTCAGATATGATTTTTTTTATTTTTGTTATAGATGTTTCTCCTTTTTCACCCCATTGACACCCTCCTCCCCATCCCCCCTGCCCCATCCCTGGCTTTGTTGTCCATGTTCATTGGTTATGTGTACATGCATATAAGTTCTGTGGTTTATCTCTTCCCTCCCCCCACCACCCCATCTTCAGATATGATTTTAAAAGTAGATTTCAGCATATGAAATTGAACATTTTCATATCTGTGAAAATACAATTGTCAGAAAGTCCTCAATATAAATATAATTTTGTATGTATGAAAATGTGCACTTTTGAAATTACCCAAGGCCCAATATGTGTTCAATCTTAATGCTTATATTTATGTTCTTAGATTTTTAAAAGTAGGTAAGTATAAACTTTTCCATCAATATCTTTACATGAACAATTTGTTGCTTAGGTTTTTTTTTAATATTTTTTCTTTATTGATTATAAAGAGAGAGTAAGGGAGAGTGAGAGAGAGATAGAAACATTAATGAGAGAGAACATCGATTGGCCGCCTCCTGCATGCCCCCCACTGGGGATTGGGCCCACAAATTGGGCATGTGCCCTGACCGGAAATTGAACCAGCAACCTCTTGGTGCATGGGCAATGCTCTACCCCTGAGCTACACTAGCTGGGTTCTTTTAAGCTCTTTAAACACATATATTATTGTATGGTTTATTTTTATTAACTATACACTCTAGGTAGGATTAGATAAAGGTGTCTTAATATTATTTAAAAGCTAATAAAGTGTGATAATTCAAAGCAATGAATACATAATAAAGTTAAAGATACTTCGACAAGGTCATAGTGATGTGTAAAATCAACTTTATTTCTGCAATGAATCTCTGAGGAAATGTCGCTTCCTCAGGGTGCCTCATGCATCTAAAACAGAATCCTGTGTGCCCCCCCCCCAACACACACAATGTTCTTTCTTTCTGTAGGAATTCATCTTCATCTGAGACAGTACATATTTTACTTCATAGATTCTCGACCTGTGTTCTCAAACTTGGTGCAATTTATTTCCTGATGTATACTGAACTGCAGTAGTAGCTGGCACACAGTAGGTCTTCATTAAAACTGAAATAAAAATACACCGAAAGAACCTAGAAATTGCATTAGGGTCACAATGACTATTCAATTATCGGATTTACTAGTGGTGCAGAAATACATTAACTATAAGACATCTACAAGCCCTTTCCTCCTTTAATATGGTAGTAAGTCAACTGGCCTGGGAGTAGCCCCCATTTATCAACATTTGGCCAGTGAAGAGGTTTCACAGAAAATAATACAATTTTCATTGAGCAAAAAGGAGGGGGTGGGGGGCACAAAGGAAAAAATTTAATCAGTATCTTCCGCGGGGCAATCCCGCACCAAATGTCCGGGATTTCCACAGCGGTAGCATCTGATCGCCGTTGTCTTGGTGCAGTTGACGGCCATATGGCCGGTGTCGCCACACCGATAACACTTGACTTGGGTGCAGTCTTTCCGAATGTGACCGTATTCCCCGCAAGAGTAGCACTTCAGCTCTTCCTGACGGTTACAATCTCGAGCCAAGTGGCCAGCTTTGCCGCACGAGTAACAACACTGCTCTTTGGCATTTTTGGCCTCGACACACTCTTTGGCGATGTGGCCACTTTTCCCGCAGTTGTAGCACACGTTCTCGGCAAGGTCACAGTTCTTAGCGTGATGACCCGACTCACCACAGCGGTAACAGATGTCGGGTTGGGTGGCGGAAGTGCCCTGACCATCTCTGCCCCCGCCTCTAGCTCTGCGCCCCAGGGCTCGCCCTCCTCGGGAGCATCCTCGGGTCCAGTGGCCGGAGTGGCCACAGCTGAAGTACTCCTTACTGCTCATGGCTGCGGTGGGATCTTCCAGCGACCGGTGCGCCACTGCCCACAGCCCCACGCAGCTGCCGGAGTGTGGCCTCGAAAGCCGCGGCCGTTACTCTCCAGAAGCCCCCACGACGTCACAAAGGCTTTGCGCACAGCCCCAGTGCCACCGGCGTTCCAACTGCCATTGCCTCGTGGCTTTCTTCATGTCCTTGAAGCTGAAAGCATGGGAGTGATGTCTTCCGTTTGATTTTTTTAAAAATAAAAGCTTGGATTATTACATTTGACTTGGATTCCTTCCCGGTTTCGAAAACGTGCTCTGTAGGCTTCCTTATAATGAACGCTTAGGCCTTTTTTGTGGTCTACGAGATGACCACATTTTATGTATATGCTATGCACATAGGAAACATATGTGACATATATTTAATCCAGTAAATGAAAGAAACAAATTACAGTAACCCATTGTTTGCTTTAAAAAATAAAATACAAATATCCATAAAGATAGGCGATGCAGCCCTGGCTGGTTTGGCTCAGCGGTTAGAACGTCGGCCTGCGGTCCAGAGAGACCCGGGTTCGGTTCCCGCTGAGGGCACGGACCTCGGTTGCAGTTTCTCCCCGGCCCTGGTTGGGTCGTGTGGGTGGCAGCCACTCGATGTGTCCCTTTCATGTCGATGTTTCTCTCTCTCTCTGTCTCCCCCTCCCACTCTGTCTGAACTAAAAGTGGAAAAGGGTCCTCAGGTGAGGATAAAAAAAGATATGAGATATATAAAATACAAAAAAAAATCTGTAAATTGCCCCAGTGAGAAAATGTACTCATAATTTATACTGTTTTATGTCAATAATCTTAGTTTCCGACATAATCACCACAGTTTAAGTTATCAAACATAACACAATTGAAGCATTCAGTATAAAGAATGCATTATTACTCAGGAAATAAATTATAAAACCATAATGTACATATTGGACAGAGTTCCTTTCTGTTTTCCAAGTAGTTTGTATCTTATATAAATCTCATAACAATTTATTGACATGTTATCCATTTACATAGATAATTAAGTATGGAAAACCAGACAATGAAAAATCAACAAAAGCTATTTGGGGATTATATGATTGAATATGACTTTTTCCTTCTTATTTTCCTTCTTTATACTTTACAATTTTTGAAATGATTTTGAGTTGTGTAATTTAAAAGATTCACAGTAAATATTTTTCTTTAAGTTACTAGTTAGCTATATGATTTGCATATGAACTTTTTTCAGACAACCAGTTTAAATATATTTGGTAAAACACACATAAGAATAATTAATGTTGTACTCGATCTTTCGTTTCAATATGACTTGATTGGGATATGCAACTGGTTCCATAAATATAACAACAAAGAAAAACGTTGTCGACAATTATTTGGAGCCAAAGAGCATGACTAGTTCCCGCATATAGAAGGATGAAATGAGTTTTATTCCTGAACTATTAAATGGTGCTACATAAATGATTTCAAAAGACAAAAATTCTATCTGTGCTTCAAATTTTGATATATGCTTATTAAATTAACCTTATTATTATGCTTAAATCTTCCTTTCGGTATATTTTTTCATGTAATATGTGCCCATAGTATATAAAGCATTGCTTTTACAGGCAGCTTTAATTGAGACAGGAAGTAACAAATCCATTCTCTCTCTCTCTCTCTCTCTCTCTCTCTCTCTCTCTCTCTTCTCTCTCTCTCTCTTTGATGTATATTGGGGAAGCTCCAGATCAACTCGGTGAGTATTTCCTCAACAATATTAAGTCATTCCAGTACATGAGCACAAAATGTTATCCCATTTATTTTCATTTAATATGTTATAAAACACTATAAAGTGTTTACTGCATAATTTTCATACATCTTTTGTTAAATTTTTCCCTAAGGGTTTCATTCTTTTTGATGCTGTTGTGAATGAAAATTATTTTCCTATTTTCATTTTTTGGGTTGTTTATTGTTAGCATATAGAAGTATAATTATTTTTGTATATTGATCTTTAATCCTACAACCTTGCTAAACTGAACTGATTTAATAGTGCCAATAGTTTTTTAGTGGATTCCTTAGGATTAGAATTTTCTATGTACAAAATTGTATCATCTGCAAGTAAGGATGTTTGAATTCATCATTTCCCATCTAGGTTTCTTTTATTTCATTTCCTTGCATAATTGCCCTGACTAGAACTTCCTTAAAATGTTGAATAGAAGTGATGAGAGAGGCATCCTTCTCTTGTTCCTGATCTTAGGGGGAAAGCTCTCAGGCTTTAAGACCATTCCTATAATGTTAGCTACAGGTTTTTTAGTATACATTATCAGGTAAGGAAGTTCTTTTCTATACCAAATCTGTGGAATGTTCTCATCATGAAAGGGTGTTGAATTTTGTCAAATGTTTTTCTGCATCTCTTGACTTTGTCTTAACTTTTTTCATTTGCTAGAACCTCCAGTACAGTGTTGAATAGAAGTTGTGAGAATGGACATCCTTGTCTTGTTTCTGATCTTAAGGGGAAAGTTTTCAGTCTCACCGTTAAGTATGGTGTTTTAAAAAATGAAATACTGTGGGGTTTTGGCAGATGCCCTTGTTAACCTTAAATAAATAGACATCCAGATGTTTCCCTAGCAAAATGGGTTTATTTGGTAACAACAAAGAATTGCAATTGGTGACATTCGGTCTAATGGCGAAAATGAATCATGCACAAATTCAGGAGGGACAATGGAGGGGAACACGCTTTTATGTCTTGGGAGTAAACTGAAAGTTTGATGTATAGTTGACTCTTGAACAACAGGGTTGAACTGCGCAGGTCCCTTTATACATGGATGTTTTTCAGTAAATACTTGTACTGTTTTCAATTAATAATTGGGAATTCACAGATACAGAGGGCCAACTGTATACATTAATGTACACCAGTTTACATAGGGGATTTGAGCATCCACAGATTGTGGTATCCACAAGGAGTCCTGGAACCAATTCCCCATGGATACTGACAGACAACTAAGATTTGTGGGAGTCAAAAGTTATTCTATATATATGTTGTATTGCATTGATTTTTTATATGCTCATCTAACATTCTGTTCTTGACATAAATACCACTTGTTCAAGGTATATAATCCTTTTTATATGCTGCTGCATTTGGTTTGCTAGAATTTTGTTGAAAATTTTTGCATCTCTATTGATAAAGAAGATTGATCTGTAGGGTTTTGTTTTGTTTTGTTTTCTTGTGATATCTGTCTGGTTGTCATTTTAAGGTAATACTGACCTGAAAGAATAATTTTGGAGATCTTCCCACTTCTTTTATTTTTTGGAATAGTTGGTGAAAAATTGATACTATTTCTCTTTTAAATGTTTGGAAGATTTCACTTAGTGAAGCCATCTCTGCCTGGGCTTTTCTTCTGGGAAGCTTTGTTTTGTTTTGTTTTTAATCCTCACCCAAGGACATTTTTGCATTCATCTTGAAATAAAGTGAGAAGGAGAGAGGGAGGAAGAGAGAGAGAGAGAAACATCGATGTGAAAGGGACACATCGAGTGGCTGCCACCCACACGACCCAACAGGGCCTGGGGACAAACTGCAACCGAGGTCCGTGCCCTTAGCGGGAACCGAACCCGGGTCTCTCTGGACCGCAGGCCCACGCTCTAACCGCTGAGCCAAACCGGCCAGGGCTCTTGTGGGAAGTATTTAAATTATTTATTTACTCTGTTTAGTTGTAATAAATCTGTTCAGATTTTGTGTTTCTTTTTGAGGCAGTTTTGGCAATTTATGTCTTTCTGGAAATTTGCCTATTTCATCTAAGTTATCTAATTTTTTGCCATACAGTTGTTCATGGTATTCTCTTATACTCCTTTTATTTCTGTAAGGTCAGTAGTGATGTACCCTCTTTAATTCCTGATTTTAGAAATTTTAGTCTTTCTTTTTTTGGTCAGTATAGTTAAAGGTTTTATTGTTTGTTTTCAATTCTGCTGACCTTTTTAAAGAACCAACTTTTGGTTTTGTTGATTTTCTCTACTGTTTTTCTATTCTCTCTTTTATTTCTTTTCACTCTAATTTTTATTACCTCCTCCCTTCTGCCTGCCTTGGGCTTAGTTTCTTCTTGTTGGTTTTTGTTGTTGTTGTTGTTCCAGGTGCAGGATTAGGTTATTGATTTGAGATCTAATTTCCCTGTGAGCACTACCTTAGCTGCATCCCATAAATTTTGTGGGGTTTTTTTGGTTTTAATCTGTCTTTTTTTTTTTCTTTAATTTATTTTTGCTACAGATATTTCTCCTTTTCGCCAATTGACACCCTCCTCCCGAACCCCCCCGCCTGTCTCTAGCATGCATCCATAAATTTTAATATGCTGAGTTTCTTTTTCGTTCATCCAAAAGTATTTCCTAATATTCCTTGTGATTGCTTTTATACCAATTGATTATTCAAGAATATAATGAATTTCCACATATGCATAAATTTCTCAAATTTCTTTCTGTTATTGATTTTATCCCAATGTGACTGAAGAACATATTTTGTATAATTTTAATCACTTTAAATTTATTGAGGCTTATTTTATGGCCTAGCATATGGTCTTTTCTTAGAGAATGTCCCATGAGTGTTTGAGAAGAATATTTATTCTGCTGCTATCCATTGGAGCGTTCTATAGACATCAATTAGATCAATATGGTTAATAGTGTTGTTCTAGCTTTCTATATCATTGATGGTTTTCTGTCTACTTGTACTAGCCATTATCGAGAGTCACCAATTATTATTGTCGGATTATCCTTTTAACTATTGAATTTTATCAGTTTTTTCCCATGTATATTGAGGTTCTTTTGTTAGGTGTATATATTGTTATATTTTGATGAATCGACCCTGTTTTCATTATAAAATGCTTTAACCCTTTAAATATTTCTCAGAAGTGTCATATTTTGTTCCATCTCACTACTACTCTAAAGCAGGCTATATCATCTCTTGACTAAGTGACTTTTCTAAAATTCTGACCATACCGCTCTCTTACTTAAATTCTTTCTCCCCAATAATTACTAAACTCTGTTAAGCCCAAGGGAGAAAGTAATCTTCCCAAGATCAAATTAAGACAGTGACAGACCTAGGACTACATTTAGGTTTCCCAGCTTCTGAACACCATGCTCCAACCAAGCTGGCACATAAAATTAACCACTACTTGCCCTGGCCGGTTTGGCTCAGCGGTTAGAGCATCGGCCTGCAGTCCCAAGAGACCCGGGTTCGGTTCCTGCTAAGGGCACGTACCTCAGTTGCAGTTTGTCCCCGGTCCTAGTTGGTCGTGTGGATGGCAGCCATTTGATGTGTCCCTTTCACATCGATGTCTCTCTCTCTCTCTCTCTCTCTCTCTCTCTCTCTCTCTCTCTCTCTCTCTCTTCCTCTCTCTCCCTCCTACTTCATCTGAACAAAAAGTGGAGGAATGTCCTAGGGTGAGGATAAAAAATAAAGAATAAATAAAGAAAGAATTCTTTAAAAAGAATTAACCACTACTCTCTCTAAAGGAAGGTCATTCTCCAAAAAATGTATAGGATAGGAGAAAAGAGGGAGATAGAGCCTCAGAATGTTAACCTAAGACGGGTGGATACAGCAGGAGTCCCTAAATTTCTCTTTTACCTCTCCCAATGAAGTGCTTATGAACTGGGAAGTTCAGACAAGTAGGTAGGCTTAAGACTAAGTATTTTATAGAGTTCAAGATTTACAAGCTCTTTTTAAAAATAAATTGTATTGATTTTTATTTTTAAATGTTTTTATTTATTAATTTGTTTTTGGTACAGATGATTCTCATTTTTCCCCCATTGACACCCTCCTCCCCTCCCCCCAAGCACCCCATCCCCAGGTTTGTTGTCTATGTTTGTTGGTCATGCGTACATGCATGTAAGTTCTGTGGTTTATCTCTTCCCCCACAAACCACAAGCCTCCTCTGAGGCTTGTCAGTCTCTACCCCACCTCCATGTCTCTGGGTTAATTTTGTTCAGCAGTTTTTTTAGTTCATTATATTCCACAAATAAGTGAGATCATGTGATATTTGTCTTTCTCTGCTTGGTTTGTTTCGCTTAGCATAATACTCTCCAGGTTCTTCCATGCCATCTCAAAGGATAAGAGATCTTTCTTTCTTACAGCTGCATAGTATTCCACTGTGTACATTTACCACAGTTTTTTAATCCACTCATCTACTGATGGACACTTGGGTTGTTTCCAGATCTTAGTTATTGTAAATAGTGCTGCTATGAACATGGGGGTACGTATATTCTTTCTGATTGGTGTTTCAGGTTTCTTAGGGTATATTCCTAGAAGTGAGATCACTGGGTCAAATGGCAGTTCAATTTTTAACTTTTTGAGGTAACACCATATTCTTTTCCACAGTGGCTGCACCAGTTTGCATTCCCACCAGCAGTGTACTAGAGTCCCCTTTTCTCCACACCCTCGCCAACACTTGTTGTTTGATGATTTGTTGATGGCGGCCATTCTGACTGGTGTGAGGTGATACCTTGTAGTTGTTTTAATTGGCATCTCTCTGATGATTAGTGATGTTGAGCATTTCTTCATATGTCTCTTGGCCATTTGTATGTCCTTTTTGGAGAGGTGTCTATTTAGGTCCTCTGCCCATTTTTTAAGTGGGTTTTTTGTCTTCCTTTTGTTGAGTTGTAGGAGCACTCTCTATATTTTGGAAATTAACCCCTTATCTGATGCATCATTGGCGATAATTGTCTCCCATGTAGTGGGATCCCTTTCCATTTTGATGGTTGTTTCTTTTGCCGTGCAGAAGTTTTTTAGTTTGATGTAGCCCCATGTGATCATTTTTTCCTTTGTTTGTGTTGTCTTAGGTGTTGTATCAGTGAAAATTCTGCTGCGTATGATGTCTGAGATTTTGTTGCCTACATTTTCTTCTAGAATTTTTATGGATTCACAAGTTACATTTAAGTCTTTTATCCATTTTGAGTTTATTTTTGTGTATGGTGTAAGTTGGTGTTCTAGCAAATTGCATTGATTTTTAGATAGAGGAAAGATAGGAGGTGGATGGGCATTGATGAAAGAGAGAAATAATGATCAGCCGGCTTTCTCACGCACCCTGATTGGGAATCAAACCCACAACCTAGTTTGTGCCCTAACCAGGAATCGAAACTGCCATTTTTTGTTGTACGGGACAACGCTCCAACCAACTGAGCCACACCAGCCAGGGCTGTAAGTTCTTTCTTGAAGTTCTCTTCAGATGGAGTCATAGTATATTAGGAGAGTTTTATCAAAAGGAAGAGAAGTGGAAAGAGCAAGTAACTCCATTGGCAAGAATTATATGCTAACCTCAATTTTACAATACTTTAAAAAATGGAATGCTGTCCATTTACTAAAATTTATAAAGATGATGATTATTAGGTACATGGAAAATAGTTAAAACAACACATTATTACATCTATGAACAACCATTGCATATTTAAACAAAAATTGAAATAACAAAGATATGCTAATGGACCAGAGTTTCTTTTTGTGGTGATGAAAAATTCTAAAATTGTGCTGATGGCTATACAATTCTGTGAATATACTGAAATCCACTGCATTTTACATTTTATGTTGGTGAATTGTATGACATGTGATTTAGATCTTTTTTTTTTTTTTTTTTTTAATCCTCACCGGAGGACATTTTTCCATTTTTTGTTCAGATAGAGCGGGAGGGAGAGAGAGGAAGAGAGACAGAGAGAGAAACATCGATGTGAAGGGACACATCCAGTGGCTGCCACCCGCACGACCAACCAGGGCAGGGGAAAAACTGAAACCGAGGTACGTGCCCTTAGCGGGAACCGAACCCTGGTCTCTCTGTACCGCAGGCTGACGCTCCAACCGCTGAGCCAAACCGGCCAGGGCACATGTGAATTAGATCTTAATAAAACCATTATAACAAAAAGATAACACAAAGAAGTAACAGCATTTTTTATAATTGTGTTGTAGAATTCTTAGCAAAGTGTCTCCCCACCCCCCCACCCCCCACCCCCAATAAATGATTCTCTTAATTTAGGAGAGAGGTTCTTTGTACCACTATAACTTCAGGCATTTCAATTTATCTCTTTTTTCTTTCTGAATTTGTACATTGTTTTATAACTTTTTTGTGCACATTATGTAAAAGACACAAACTTCCATTATTTCTCTGAATAGTGTTAATATGATGTTCTTAACAAGTTAATTATAGAGGACGATGATGTACGTATTTTATAGGGCTCAGGATTTATGGATTTATGCGTCTCAGTTTTTGACATTTGCAAACTGGCTTTCATAGAAAGCAAGGAGAACCAGCTACCAAAGTAAAACGTCATAAAGAGAACCAAGTATTGTTTTGTATTCTCTCCTTCTCACATCCAAAGAGGAATCTATTTCATATCTTGTTGAATAAGTGATGTCACTCCTCTTAAAGTTGATATGTGGATTTCTCACAGAAGACAGGAACAAGCCTCATATTTAGCAGTGAAGGACACTTAAAAGAGTATTTTTTTTTTTTATCCTCATGCGAGTGGGAACTGAACCCGGGTCTCTCTGGACCGCAGGCCGATGCTCTAACCGCTGAGCTAAACTGGGCAGGGCTTAAGAGTATTTTTTTTCTTTTTTTATCCTCACCCGAGGACATTCTTCCATTTTTTGTTCAGGTAGAGTGGGAGGGAGAGAGAGGAAGGGAGAGAGAAAGAGAAACATCCACGTGAAGGGACACATCGAGTGGCTGCCACCCGCATGACCAACCAGGGCCGGGGACAAACTGCAACCGAGGCACGTGCCCCTAGCGGGAACCGAACCCGGGTCTCTCCGGACCGCAGGCCGACGTTCTAACTGCTGAGCCAAACTGGCCAGGGCAAGAGTATTTTTAATTTCCAGCCAATACCAGGGTTGTGAAGAGAAAGAAGTATAATACTTCCTGCCCCAAAGTGATTGAACACCCTCGCCCTTTTTGCTTTGTGCAAGGGGTGTTTTGGTTCCCTGTCTGGGGTCTTCCCCATGGGTTCATCATCCATCAACAGTTCTGTTTGCCTGATAGTAGCTGGTTGGGCCCAGCTTGAGAGCTGCTTTGGGGAAGATAATGTCGATATAGTACCTTTTTAACAGTATGTTAAAAAGGAGTATTGTTATACAATTTGCAACATCAGGCACACCAGAGAGGAGTAAGAGGCCCGATAAGGCTGCGGAAAGGCAGGGAAGGCCAAGAATGGGAGGCCGACGGGGAGACGGGGCGTGAAAGAGCGGGCTGAGAAGAATGGGAGAGGAATGGAGTAAGAAGGATGCGCTGAGGGTCGGAGGTTGGTGGAGGCCGGTGTGACCACAGGGAGGAAAGGTGGAGGAAGGAGGATAGGCTAGGGATCTGGGCACCCAGGAAGAAGAGGGGAGGAAGGTTAACCTCCAAGAGGCGGAGGTGGGTGGGGGCGTGGAGAAGCGGGAGGGCTCGGCGCATGCGCAGGAAGCGCGCCGCAGCGATTCCGCCCGGAGTGTCCTTTCCTGGCATCGGCGCTGCGGCTGGAGGTGCGGCTGGTCCCTGCCTGCTGTCCACTTCCAGCCCGGCCTGCCGCTGCCGCCCTGGCGCCGCGAGCTGTGTCGCCGCCCCTCCTTCCTGTCCTGCGACGGCTGGCTCTACAAACGCATTCCGTGACAGGCGACTCAGCCAGGAGGTAAAGGAGCACGTGAGGGCCGAACATGGAGGCGGTGGAGGGGACCCAGCCCGGGGGGTCCTTAATGTTCCTCCTGTTCGCGAGAGGGGAAGTGGCAGGACGGGCCTCGGGCCTGCAAAGCGTGCTGGGCACTTCCCATGACGAGGGCAGGGGGGCACCTGGGCGTCGGTGTTTTCTGTGATGTTCCCTGTTTCAGATGTTTGCGGTTCCTCGTGTAGCGGGGTGTTTACAGGCGGGGCTTTAGCACTAAGTTCATCTGATTATTGATTACGAGAGTTTTCTCTGCTTGTGTTCAGGGTGGGGGGTCCTAATTCGGAGTCCGAGGCTGTTCAGGCCCTCCCTCGGGGTCGGGGTCCGGGCGGATTCCATCTGGATTTGGGATCTGCTCGGATCACCCGCAACGCCGTCTCTTCCGTGTTCCACTCGCCTGGTTTAACACACCGACCCCCATGGGGGAAGGATGGCGCCCCCTGGGTCCCGGGCACACCTGGCGAGAAACACGCCCAGATGATCAGCAGGCATATATCATTGCGTGTGTGTGTGTGCATGTATGTGTGTGTGTGTGTGTGTGTGTGCATGTATGTATGTGTGTGTGTGTGCATGTATGTGTGTGTGTGTGCATGTATATGTGTGTGTGTGTGTGATGTATACACGTAACGGAAGGTCGGGTGCGTTGCGCGTGTCGATTTCAGAGGCGGGGAGGGCGGCAGAGCGCGGGTGTGTTTGAGGTCTGCACACCAGGGACAGCGGGAAGTACGCAAGCGCAAGACTTAGGGCAGGGGGTCGAAGACGGATTTAAGAAACCAACGGGTTTTTCTGCTTGTTACCCAGTGTCACCCCAACAAATTCAATAAAAAAGAGGCAGGACGACCTGCAGAAAAGCCGATCCACCTTTCTTAGTTGAACGAAGGTATCAGCCTGACTTGTAGTTCCCATAGGCTGTGCCCAAATCCAGAAGAAATTAACCCAGAAACTCAGCCTGTCACTGACCTATTGGTACTGTGGGTGTATAAATGCGGAAGCGATGATGACTCTAGAAAGAAGGTTGCGGCAGCTGCTGTGTGTGTGTAGGAAATGGAGACCAGGAGTATTTGTAGACCAAGCACATTCGGGCAGTACACATTCGGGAGGCTCTCTGTCGGACTTGCAGCTTTGGGCCTATTGTACTTGGCTCTGGACACACAGTAGTTTCAGTATAGTGAGAATCTACTGTTATGTTGTCAGAAGCCCTTGATTTTCTGCCATCGAGAATATTGGGGTGAGGATTTGGCTGTGCTTTCAAATGCTAGTTACATTTTGCTTTAAACCTAGGATTTGGGCAAATAGTAATTGGTGGTATGAAGGTGACCTGGGTTCACATCCTTCCCTCGACATAATTTTTTTTCTGTAGAACTCTGAGCACGGTTTTGTCTAGAGCAGCGGTTCTCAACCTGTGCGTCGCAACCCTTTTGTGGGTCGAACGACCCTTTCAGGGGTCGCCTAAGACCATCGGAAAACACATATTTCCGATGGCGACTCCTAATGGTAGCAAAATTACAGTTATGAAGTAGCAACAAAAATAATTTTATGCTTGGGGGTCACCACAAAATGAGGAACTGTATTAAAGGGTCGCGCAGCATGAGGAAGGTTGAGAACCCCTGGTCTAGAGGGATGGTTTTTTGTGTGTGTGTGTGTTTTTTTTTTTTTTTTAAGGCAGCTGTATACTGTTATATCTATCACAGGGCTGTCATTGAGGATATATTGTTAATCGCTAAAAGCTGAACTTAGATGTGTAGTAAAAAGGACACAAAATTAGCCCCGCAGATGTGGCTCAGTTTTTGAGCATGGACCATGCACCAGGAGGTCGCCGGTTCATTCCCGGTCAGGGCACATGCCCAGGTTGTGGGCCTGATCCCTAATGGGAGGCATGCAGGTGGTGGCCAACAATGTTTCTCTCTCTCTCTCCTTCTCCCTTCTTCTTTCTAAAATCAATGAAAGAGCCCTGGTCGGTTTGGCTCAGCGGTTAGAGCGTCAGCCTGCGGTCCCGAGAGACCGGGGTTCAGTTCCCACTAAGGGCATGTACCTCGGTTGCAGTTTGTCCCCAGCCCTGGTTGGGTCATGCGGGTGGCAGTCACTCGATGTGTCCCTTCAATATCAATGTTTGTCTCTCCCTCCCACTCTATCTGAACAAAAAAATGGAAAAATGTCCTCGGGTGAGGATGAAAAAAAAAAGTGAGTTAAAATCAATAAAAGAAAGAAAAGGGGCACACGATTCAAAATTGAGGAGACAGATCTTTTCCAGTGATCCTAGCTGTGATCTCATGCTGGTCCTTTTCCTTTTCTGGGCCCGTTTCCCTATCTATAATAATAATTATACTTAAAGGTCTATAGCACTTAAACTATGCCAGGTACTGGTCTGAACAATCTCATGAAGTTGCAGCACCATTGCTCCTCTTTTACAAAGGACACATTTAAGGGACACAGATTAGTTTGTCCAAGGCTTTACATAAAGGAAAGAATTGTTGATTTGGAGCTTAGTGGGGTGGCCACACTCACCTACCCTTGTCATCTGTGTGTTTTGTTCTACAGAGTTTAAAATGGCTGACTGTGGTAGGCTGGACACACTTTTCTCACTTTGTGTGATTTGAAATCTGGTCTAATGCTTTGAGACAACCAGTCACTTGCTGCAGTACAGATTTTTGTTACCCGTTATTAATATTTTGGTGTGTTAATACAAATGTCTAGCCCGTCTGGTGTGGCTCAGTGGATTGAACATTGTCCCATGGACTGAGAGATCCTGGTTTGATTCCTGTTCAGGGCACATGCCCAGGTTGTGGGCTCCGTCCCCAGTAGGGGGTGTGCAGAAGGCAACCAATCAATGTCTCTCACATTGATGTTTCTCTCTCTCTCCTTTCCTCTCACAAAAAACAATCAATTAAAATATTTTAAAGTAAATGTGTTCTGTAAATAAAGGCTATTATTCAGATTTCTGTAATATAAATATATACTACAGGTTATTGTTTGCCTTTTAATTTTTGTTTTTAAATGTTTGGCTAGTAAACATTTGAATCATGTGGTCAAATCTCTCCACCTTTTTTTATTACTGTTATTATTGATTTGAGAGGGAGAGAGAGATAGAAACATCGATAAGAGAGAAATATTGACTGGCCGTATCCTGTATGATCCCTGCTGAGGATCAAGCCCGAAACCCAGGCATGTTCCCTGACAGGGAATTGAACTAGTGACCTCTTGGTGCATGGCATGATGTCCAACTCACTGTGCCACACCAGCCGGGCTAATCTCTCTGTCTTTTGTAATTTTTCTTCCAGTGTTTATGTTTGAATAGTTCCAATTTAGAAATTTGATAAATATTCATTACAGCTCTGAGGATAACCATCAAGTATGGGGGGGGACGACCATAATTTCACTACCCAGAGATAACCAGTGTTAACAAATGTATTCACTTTTATTCATTCTCTCTTCATTTTCTACAGTTGCTTGTATATTTGTACTATTTATATTGTGTTTTGTGTTTAACATTATAATTAATATGCATTTTCCCATATTAAACCATCTTTGTAATTGTCATTTAATGGTTTTATGGTATTTTGTTGTGTAGAAGTATTTTAAGAGTTTCAGTATTTTAAATTATGTAACGAATGTCTTTTCATTTAGGTTTTTTTTTTTGTTTGTTTTGTTTTGTTTTGTAATCCTCACCTGAGGATATTTTTTCCATTGATTTTTAGAGTGAAAGAGAGGGAGAAAGAGAAAGTAAAACATTGATGTGTCTCTTACATCAATTGGTTGACTCCCGCACAACCCTGACCCAGGCTGGGGATTGAACCTGCAACCCTGGTACATGCCCTTGACCAGAATCGAACCTGCCACCCTTTGGTCCATGGGTCAATGCTCTAACCACTGAGAAAAACTGGCCAAGGCTCATTTAGTTTTTATTGTTTATCTACTTCAAGTGATTTCTTTATAGAATATAGTTTGAGAATTAGAATTACTCATCAGAAAGTTTGAACATTATAAAGACTTGCCATAATAGTGTTCCAAATAACTATGCCAATTTTTGTGCCCAGGCATTTAGGTACTTAAAAAAATTTTTTTTTTTTTGCTAACTTTATATGTAAAGGAACGGTATCTTTTGTTTTATGGTATATTTCTCTTTTTATTGGTGAGGCTAGACTGTCAAATGTTAATTATTAGCTCATTTCATTTTGTGAACTATTCAATTTGAGCCTGGATGTTTTCTGTTTGTAAGAGGTCTGTATTATATGCTCTGTATAAGGATCCATCACCCTTGTGATTTGTTGCACATGACAACTCTTTTGCAGATGTTCTCCTGGTATGTTTGTTGCCACCGAGTCTGAAGAATGCTGTGAGATTCCAAGGCAACTGAGTGGAATACATGTCAGATTCTTGGCAGCCAATCTGAGATAATATTTTTTTCTTTTGAGGGACTAAACTTTAAATTTTATTTAATTTTTTATTATTTATTTATTTTTTAATTATTTATTACTATATTACAGGTATCCTCCAGTTTCCCTCCCTTTGCCCCCCTTGGCCCCCCTTCACCCAGTCCCCGCCCCACCCCAGGCCTTCACCACACTGTTGTCTGTGACCTTGGGCTATGCATATATGCACATATGTCCTTCGGTTAATTTGAGATACATTTGTCCTTTAAACAGATAGCCATTTTCTTTATCTAAAAGGAAAGCATTCGTGAGTTCTGCACAGCACTGCTGCTCCCTGGCTATGCATGTGGGGAGAAGACATGGCAAGATTTTGTCCCTAACAAGAAACCAAATTAGAGAAGACACATGGTAATACCCTCTTCCCCATCCATTCAGGAACTGCTCTAATTTTTACGTTAGAGAGAAATACTGTGTTAATCATATAAAATAGTGGCTTCAGAGACATTGGGTCCCACGATAGGGATCTTGGTGTGAATGGCAACAATTTATGGGTATCATCAGTTCAGTTTGCTGGTGCAGAGATAAAAGAGCCATTAAAAACCTAGGCCTTATTGAGGACAACATAGGATACAAATTCTATTTTATCTTTGTATAAAACCATCCGAACCAAATGACTAGTTAACACTACATCTCTGCTCAAGGAGCCTCTATTACTCATCACATTTTGAAAAGGGTGTGGGAAGAATGTGTTACCTCTTTTCATTTTTCTCATTTATAATATGTACGTGATTTAGACTAGATACTCGGAAAGGTTTGGCAGTGTGGGATATGGTAGCAAACCTCATTCTGGTTTCCTGAAACTGGATCTGTTATTTGTGGTTCCAAGAGTCTCTTTAATTTTATTTATTTATTTATTTATTATTTTTTAATCCTCACCCGAGGACATTTTTTCCCATTTTTTGTTCACATAGAATGGGAGGGAGGGAGGAAGAGAGAGAGAGAGAGAGAGAGAGAGAGAGAGAAACATCGATGCGAAAGGGACACATCGAGTGGTTGCCACCCGCACGACCCAACCAGGGCCGGGGACAAACTGCAACCGAGGTATGTGCCCTTAGTGGGAACCGAACCTGGGTCTCTGGACCGCAGGTCGACGTTCTAACCACCGAGGCCAAACCGGCCAGGGCTATATTTATTAAGTAAAAGTTTCGAAATTATTATTCCTATTTCGTGAGCTGTCTACTATCTCTTTTATACTTCACAACATTCTAATTTTTTAATTTTTTCAGTGAAGATATTATTGGATTTAGAAGTGCCGGGTGAGCTGTTATTGCTTTTTGCTATCCATTTAGTTGTAAGTTCCCATTTTTCAGCATTTTGGCAGTTACAGATGTTAAATCAGACTCATTTGTGGTGGGGAGGTTGCAGATGTATATTAAGCAAAAAAAAAAATGAAACAACAACAAAGCTTGTGTTGTAGAGAAGGCACTGAAGGTCTGTGCCTTTTTTTTTTTTTAAATCCCCACCAAAGGACACTTTTTTGCACTCATCTTCAGATAGAACGAGAGGGAGAGAGAGAAACATTGATGTGAGACGCATCGAGTGGCCACCACCCACACAACCCCAACCGGGGCCGGGGACAAACTGCAACCGAGGTACATGCCCTTAGCGGGAACCAAACCTGGGGCTCTCTGGACTGCAAGCTGGCCAGGGCATATCTTTTTTTTTTAATGTAAGCATTTCATTCATTCAGCTAACATGATGAGCTTTGATTTCCTTATCTGCAAAATGGAGATATCTACCTTCACCGAGTTATTATGGAGATTTCATTATTAATAGACTTTCAATAAATGACAACCCTCTAACAAGTTCCCCAATGGCTAAGCACTGGATTGAACGGTGGAGGCTCAGTCACAGATCACCTACCACCAAAGAGTTCTTGAGACGGTTTAACTGCTGCCCCCACCCCCTCGTCTGTGCCTATCTTATGTACAGAAGTCCCATATTACCTCATGCCTGCGTCTAGATCCCAAATTCATCTATGATCAGGACTTAGGAAGAGCCTGGAATTTTCAAATAGCCTAAAAGTATATAATCTTTGATTTCTACAACTTGCTCCTCCCTTCTGTCTTGATGTTACAGCCAGCAGCAGCCTTGGAGCAGCAGCTTCTGGAAAGAAATTTTCCATCAGCCATTATAATACAACCCATACAGCACTTACCAGATTGTATTGAAATTGTCTGTGTATCTGCCTCTCCCTGTTAGTGTGTGATCAGTTAGACTGTGAGCTCCTTGAGGGCAGAGGCAGTGTCTTCATCGCCAGAACCCAGCCTGGCACATTAGTAGCCTCAGTAAGTGTTTATTGGATGAATAAATAAATGACTCATCAACAAATATTTATTGAGTGCCTGCTAATGTGACCTCCACAGGCTCTGGACTGTCAACTCTTTCTTCAAAATGCATGTGGTCAGAAACTTGCTGTTTCTTTCTAGTGTATGTATGTATGTGTATATATGTGTATATTCTCAAGAGTTTCTCCTGAGGTAAAAGTATTTTTGTGTTTGGATTTCAGTCCTTGGCATGTATAGATGCTGCTACTGTTGTGACTGTTGACAGTCTCTTCCTTGGTGGGACTTGGGTCATGGCTGCCAGATTGGGAGCCTGATCCTCACCGCCTGGTGTTTGCTAAATGGCTCCTATTTGCAGGTTCATCCTCTTTTCACTCCTCCTTATGCCATCCTCCAAATGGTGTTCCTGGGTAGGGCTCCACATTCTAGATTAGGGGTGGGCAGATACAGCCCATGGACCACCTGGTTTTGCAAATAAAGTTCTATTGGAACACACCATGCTAATTTCTTGATATTTTGTCTGTGGCTTCTTTGGTTTACAACAGCAGAGTTGAGTAGCTGCATTAAACATGGTGGTCCACCAGGCCTGGCCCTTTCCAGAAAAAGATCGCCTACCGTGTTTTGGATCATCACTCAACAGTGATGGTTTCCTTCCCCTTTCTATTCACCAGAGATACTTTTAGCATCTTAGAAACTCATTTATTTACCTCATTCATTACTGCTTATAACAAGTCTTTTTCCTATTTTACAGAGGGGCCAGCTAATATTCACTTCAAACTAGGAGATTATAAAGCTTCCCTGAGGGTCCTACAGTCAGGTGTACTGTGTCCTTCAACTTGAAGTTTTGAGCTGCAACTGTAGAAATTTCTGTTTGTTATATCCTAACCTGAGGCACATGAACATATCATGCCTTGGTGCTTTATCCCTTGTTCTCTTCCTTACATAGCTCTTTGCAATGAGAATATAGAAAATAAGGAATTAATGTGATAAGGCTGAGGCAAATGTTTAGAGTATGAATGCTAGTTTTTAAACGAAGAAATAGGGTTTATGAAATACTTATTCAGACTTACACGGGAAATGAGCCTGGACTTCCAAGAGCTTGGGGTTCTCCCCTCTAACCCTCCCTAACCTACCACTCCTTGTCTTGGTTACCCGCCTGTGAGTGTCCTGTGATTCATTTCACTTCATTAAAAAGTTGGAGAGTTCAAGACTAATGCAAGAAAGTTAGATCTAAAAAGAGAGAGAGAGAGAGAGAAAATATCAGTGTTATTCTAGGAGTAAAATGGAGGGAAAGACCTTACAGCATTACTTTTTTTTTTTTTTTGGAAATATGTTTTTATTGATTTAGAGAGAGAATCATCTATGTGAGAAACATCGATTGGTTGCCTTCTGCATGGGGATCGAGCCCACAACCCGGGTATGGGCCCTGACCAGGAATGGAACCGGGACGATGCTCAATCCACTGAGCAAAAAATTTTTAAATGTTATACGAGTGTTGGTGAGATATATCCAATTTTAGTTTGTTAGGGGCTTTTCACGCTAAGCTAGGAACTGGGAAACTTAGAAGCTTCTAAAGAAGCACCCCTTGGAGTGTCTTTGGCTTATCCTGTGTAACTCACATCTCAGAGCCCCATTACTCCTAGTGGTTATGTCTTGGAGGTAGGGAACTAGCCACAGGCCTACCTAGCTCCTTGTGATCCAACACAGGTAGCTAAGGGAATAGATATGTTCAGTTCCCTTTCATATATGGGTAAGGTGAGTCCTGTTGGGAGTTGAGATTGTAAATGACAGGCCTTGGTTCAGAGCCTAGGGTTTTATTATCGTTAGTCATTAGTGTAAACTAAATGCCATCTGATAATTAGATGGAGTTTTCATTCACTTTTACAGGGTTCTTTTATTCAGGAATATGGAATATGAGGTAAAAACTGCCTGACATAGAAGGACCCCCAAGAGGTCCAGTTTACCCACATTCAAAGAGAGGGACTTTGAGGTCTAAAGAGGGGAAGGACTTGCAGGCAGCTAAAAAAAAAAGTCAGCATTGGAGTTCACATCTGAGTCCTAACACTTTGATATAGTTACTTGGCAACTCTGTACACAAGTTATCTGATTTTTATCTTATTTAAAATGGAGAGAAGAGCCCTGGTCAGTTTGGCTCAGTGGTTAGAGTGTCGGCCTGCAGACCAAAGAGTCGCGGGTTCAATTCTGGCCAAGGGCACATACCTTGGTTGCGGTTTCTCCCCAGCCCTGGTCGGGGTGGTGTGGGAGGCAACCAGTTGATGTGTCCCTCTCTATCAGTGTTTCTCTCTCTCTCCCTCCCTCCCTCTTTTCCTCCCTCCCACTCTATCTGAAGATAAATGGGAAAATATGCTCAGATAAGGATTTTAAAAAATAAGTAAAATAAAATGGAGACAAGAATCCTTATTAAATAATTGTAGGTGGTGAAAAAGCCAGAGGAAAAAAATGTCTGTGATGCAAGAGTGAAATCTGAGGTTCGTGGTGTGACTTAACTAATGTGGGAAAAGTAACATTAAAAGTAGGTCTCAATCCTTGACTTCTTAAACATTTTTCCTTCCTCTTTCTCCCAGTCTTATAGGTGACAACAAATGTGATCAGAAGCCATGCCACTGTTGAAGACTTATATCAAACCTGTCATGCTCCAATGAGGTTACTAGAGAATTAGGAGAGGCTCAAATCAGCATCTTGCACATGGCTGTCAAACCATTCTGAAGTCTTGGTAAGTGGTTGGTGGCTTTGGTGGGCTGGCCCAGTTAGTGGAAAGGGGCAGGGAAGGTAGTCTTAATAAGCACTAGGTAATTCCCTCATGTTTTCCCATTATGATATGAAAAAAAGGTCTTAAAATGTTCAAACTAGACTTGAGAGTAATGAGCCCAACCTCTCCTTTTCTCATTCTCTCAGTCTTGCAGACAGGGGAATTGGATATCTTCCCTGAGATTATGGCTGTTTGGCGTAGAAAATGGATTGGAATCTAAACCAGTACTGTGCTTCCTCTAGACTCCACGTGAGACAGAAAGGCTTTTATTCCACACGGAAAGACCTTTATAACAGCCTCTGAAATTGTGCTCCCCTGATGAAGGCAATTTCCATGTTGTAAAATTTTATTATGTATAAAATCACCTAGGATGCTTGTTAAAAATGCAGATTCTTAGGCAGCCAGAGACTTGTCATTGGTCAAGAGCAATACTAAAACCTACCTGTCACTTACAGTGAGGCTTTCTGCTCAGTGAGTCACCAGCAAGCCAGAATGAATCACCATCGCCATGGATGTCCTTGTAAGGCAGTTGGGGAGCCTTGGTAAGTTGTTGGTGGTTTGGGTGGGGTTCTCCAGGTGGTGGTAGAGAAGAGATGATTGTAATGCAACACTTAGTAAGTACCAGAGACTGTTCTACATGTTAACAAAATTCTGCCATCATGGAACTTTCATTCTTGTGAGAGTAGACAAAGGAATAAATAATGAGTAAATGCATAATGTATTATAACTATTATGAGAAATTTTTCCATTCTGGTGTGGAAATTGCATCAAAAATGCTTGGGCTACACTCAGCAACACCTTGCATTTTTCTCCCCATTTCCCATTCTTCCTTTATTGATTTTTTTTTTTTTTTATCCTCACCCGAGGATATTTTTCCTTTTTCTGTACAGATAGAGTGGGAGGGAGGGAGAGGAAAGGAGAGAGAGAGAGAAACATCGATGTGAAGGGACACATCGAGTGGCTGCCACCTGCACGACCAACCAGGGTCAGTGACAAACTGCAACCGAAGTACATGCCCTTAGCGGGAACCGAACCCGGGTCTCTCCAGACCGCAGGCCGACGCTCCAACCGCTGAGCCAAACTGGCCAGGGCCCATTCTTCCTTTTGATACCAGCCGCTGTCTCAGTGCAATGGAGGCTGACCACGCCGAGTGTGGGAGAGTCAGAGATGATGAAAGGAATCTTTTTTCTTTTTGTAACCCCTCACGAGGCTGAATTGTGAAGGAAAGCTCTGAAAAGCATTGTCAGAGAGGTCACCAGATCTTTCATGAGAGCAAAGGTGCAGCAGGAGAGGGGTCCTCTCGGAGATTAAGGCCCTTAGGGAGGGAAGCCTGATTTTGCCATGACTTCTGTCGCAGAGGCTCTTAGAGATGATGCTCCAGAGAATGGCAGTTTTGCACATTATTTTATATGTTACAATCATCAAAAGAAAAGACATAAGTGGGTACTTGAAAGTCTTTGGCGATAGATTAGGGAGACTGGGGAAAGCAAAGCACAGGTGGAGGGAAGGAACCTCTGGGACTAGAAAAAAGTGAAATGATAGACGTACTTGTTCTTCATAGGTGGGTACAGGATGGTTAACAGTCACCAATTAACTCGATAAAAATAACAATGAGAGGATCTGTAGTCTCTGCTCTGTGCATTGGTGGTGCCCTGAGGGGTCCAGAAAAAGGGAAGTGACTCTGGTTTTCCAAAGGTGTGTTAACATAGACACAAAAGACAATAGGCTCTGTTAAGGTAAAAATTGACTTTTGTCTGGGAAGATACCAGCCTAGAACATGACTACCTGCCATAAACTGTTTTTAGCTTAAAAGTTTCTAATTTCAGAATATCCTTTGTTGCTACTTAAGGTCTCTGAGTTTGCAAGGCTGCCACACGGACCTCCCCTGAGCTTGTCAGGTTAGCGTGTGGCTCCTTTTTGTCCATGAGAGAGTGCAATGAAAACAACTCCAGGTCCCAGAATCATCAAATAATGTCACCAGAGAGAAATCAGGTTGGGGAATGAGGACTGGAACCTGACTGGGCTTTTTCTCTACACACTTAAAACTTTCATAAACGTTTACAATCTTCATAACCTATAAATCTTTCTACAACTTGTATAAGCCTTTTTACCCATTCAGAAATAATCATCATTAGATAACTCAGTTTCAGTCCTTGTCCTGTAAAAATGTACTTTATGCCTTCTATTATTAAAACCATACAATTTCTTTCCAATTTAATTTGAACTTTAAACTGTCAGAAACCTCAATTTCCAATGATAACCAAAAAGGTAAATAACCAGCATTCCTTAGATTGACGTTTATGAACGCTTATTAGACACTCTCACTTTCAAGAAACACACCTTCAACTCCAAATCCACTTTACAGACTTTCTGCAATAAAAAAACAAAGCACACAAACTTAAAGACTTGTCTAGCAATCAGTGTTGAGTAATTCATGTTATTTCAAAGTATCTAGATATTCAAAAACTTTCATTAAAATTCACTAATTTAGCCCTGGCCAGTTTTGCTCAGCGGTTAGAGCATTGGCCTGCAGTCCAGAGAGGCCAGGGTTCGGTTCCCGCTAAGGGCATGTACCTCAGTTGCAGTTTGCCCCAGCCCTAGTTGGGTTGGGTGGGTGGCAGCCACTCCATGTGTCCCTTTCATGTTGATGTTTCTCTCTTTCTCTCTCTCCCTTCCACTCTATCTGAACAAAAAAAAAAAGGAAAAATGTCCTTAGGTGAGGATAAAAAAAAAAAAAATTAAAAGTCACTAATTTAGAAAGGAATAATAGAAATTAGTTAAAATTATTTGCTTAGGTGGCTGAGGTTTTTCACCTTTTGATAGGAATCACCTTCCAAATATTTGCATTGAAAAAAATAGCCCAAAGAGGGGGGAAAAGGGGACACATCTGTAATACTTCCAACAATAAAGATTTTAAAAAAAGGTTGCAGACAAGAGTTTTTGATGAAGGTCAGGAATTTGCATTTCAAAGGTCCTGGGACTTTTGTTTCATAAAGTCCATTATCTATAGGCCTCTTAAAATGAGTAGGGGAGGTTTTGAAAGGTAAAAGGATGTGCTGGGCTTTGAATTGTTTCTGAACCACACCTATGGCCCTGTGAAGATACTTGCAAAACAAGGACAGGCAGGCTTTTTTCTTTAACACCACAGTAATTGCCTTTCAGCCCAGATGTGGGCAATGAACTGACAAATCTACTTATCCATTTCTGACATGTTTCTTTTCATTTGGGTAGTTTTCTAGTTCACAGAAAGCACATAGCTGAGGATCATCTGAGAGTCATGAAGACTTGGATATGTGGGACTTTCATCCATTTCCCTTGTGAGTCGTAGAACAGGTCTAGCTGCAAGAGAGTATTAAAATTAACGGTGCCATGCCCTGGCCAGTTTGGCTCAGCGGTTAGAGCGTTGGCCTGCGGTCCAGAGAGACCCGGGTTCGGTTCCCGCTAAGGGCATGTTCTTCGGTTGCAGTTTGTCCCCGGCCCTGGTTGGTCGTGCGGGTGGCAGCCACTTGATGTGTCCCTTCACGTCGATGTTTCTCTCTCTCTCTCTCCCTTCCTCTCTCTCCCTCCCATTCTATCTGTACAAAAAATGGAAAAATATCCTCGGGTGAGGATTAAAAAAAAAAAAAAAAAAGAAAATTAACGGTGCCATTAACTGGCCAAACCTCTCCATTGCCCACTTTATATTGGGACCAGGCCATGTTACAAAAGATGATTAGCTTTCCTCTTGAGGGACTCCGGGTCAAATTCCTCCCAGTCGGTGAGCATGTACTCCAAAAGGGGACAGTTGAATCACTTGAACTGGTTCCCCATCTATAGAGAGACAGATAAGTAACAAGCTGAGAGAGGCATCTGAGGAGGGTGGGTACCCTGGTAAGCTACCTCTCAGGTTATCATGGAAGTTAATAATGAAGAGAACATGGTTAGCACATTCAGTCAGCCTGAACAGTAGTTTTCTCTTGGGAGGTTACTTTAAAATCATTATTTTCCCCTTTGGTTCAATATCTGGTTAATTTAGTTCTAAACATTTATTACCCTTCCGGAAATCGGGGTTAATCGGGGCAGATTTGGTTGTTCAAAATATATATGTATATATTGTTTCATAACATTCTCTAGTTGGAAGGAAACAGGTTGTGATTTAAAGACAGACGTTGAGCCCGGCTGGTGTGGCTCAGTGGTTGAGCATCAAGCCATGCACCAAGAGGTCACTGGTTCGATTCCCAGTCAGGGCACATGCCCAGGTTGAGGGCCAAATCCCCAGTGTGGGGCGTGCAGGAGGCAGCCAATCAATGTTCTCTCCTTGATGTTTCTATTTCTCTCTCCCTCTCCCTTCCTCTCTGTCTAAAATCAATAAAGAAAAATTAAAAAAAATAAATAAATACAGACGTTGATTAGATATCTCTGTAATCTAATTGTATTTTTTTCCCTTTTTTGATTTTAGAGAGAGAGGAAGTAAGAGGGAGAGAGAGGTAACATTGAATGGCTGCCTCCTGCACACCCCTGACTAGGGATCAGGCCCACAGCCTAGGCATGTGTCCTGACCGGGAATCGAACCAGCAACCTCTTGGTGCATGGGTCAATGCTCAACCACTGAGCCACACTGGCCAGACTAATTGTATTTCTTAATGTGGATTAAATAGTTTTATAAGACACTTAGTAAAACATTGTGAGCAAACTGGCACCCTCTGGAATAAATCCCTCCTGTAGACAGGTCTCCTTTGGCTCATACAGTGTCTGTTAAAAATCTTATAGTTTCCAGGAACTGGGAAGAGGGAAAAATGGGAAGTTGTTTAATGGGTACAGAGTTTCAGTTCTGCAAAATGGAAAAGTTTTGGAGAATGTCTGCTAACAATGTGAATATACAGGGTGTCTCCAAAAAAATATATACAGGGTGTCTATAAATCTTACTACATTTTGAAAATTAAATGTATTTTAATAAACACTGGCTTTATAATTATTCATAAAGTTGTGTGTACATTTTTTTGGGACACCCTATATTTAACACTGCTGAACATTTAAAATGGTGAAGATAGTAAAAAAATACAACAATATCTCATTAAACAGCAAATTCACAGTCACCAGAGTATCCTTGGGCATCTTAAATATAACATCCTCAAATTTAAAAGAAGTTGTAACACCATCTTTGATGCAACCTTTCATTTCTATATTTGAAGGGGCAGCAAAACTATGGCCCACAGGCCAAATGTGGCCCAGTACTTTTTTTTTTTTTTTATAGCCTATAAACAAAGAATGGTGTTTACATTTTTTAATAGTTGAAAATAATCAAAAGAATAATTTATGATATGCAAAAATTATACAAAATGCAGATTTCAGTTTTATTGCAACACAGTCAAATATTCATTTCTGTACTGTCTATGGCTGCTTTTATGCTACTGTGGCAGAGTAGTTGTGACAGAGGCCAAATGGCTTGCAAAGCCTAAAATATTTAGTACCTGGCCATTGACAGAAACATTTTGAACTGTTCCATTGTAGCAGTTGCCAAGTCCCTCACAATATCATCTTTGCCACCTGTAAATGCCCAGTTTGCATTTTTGTTGTGAACTACTAGTAGCTATTATCACTCTAGTCTAATATATGGGGCGATTCTTATTTTCTCATTCCCTGCCATGACACCTAACCAATTCCAGAAAACTCCCATTCTTAGTGAGCTTCACTTGTGGCTAGAATTCTGTTAGCAACTTCTGGTTTTGTAAGCTCTTCTAATTTCAAGAAACAGATTTCTCTTGGGCCAGTCAGGCAATTTGGACCTCCCACAGCTATGTATGGTCAGCATTTGAGGTACACCAGGATCTCATAGAGTCAAAATAAAGAAAATTCTAGCATATGATCTCACTTATATGTGGAATCAATGAACAAAATAAACTGATGAACAAAACAGAACAGAGGCATGGACACTGTCAGAGGGAAGGGGAGAGAGGGGACTGGATGAAAGAAGGTGAAGGGATTAGCTAAAGAACATATAGACCTAACCCACAGACACAAACAAGAGTGAGGTGATGGCCAGAGGGAAGGGGTGTTAGGGGCTGGTAGAGGTGGGCAAAGTTGGGGGAAATGGGGTCATCTGTAATAGTGTCAACCATAAAAATAAAAATAAAAGAATGGCATTATTTTACCCCCCCCCAAAAAATAGATGGGTAAAGGGGGGTCAAAGGTGGAAACTAGACATTGGGTGGTAAGCATACTACAGTACACATATCAAATTATAATGTTGTACACTTGAAACATGTTGTTAATCAATGTTACCACAATTTAAAAATTAATAACAAAAATAAAATAGCCCTGGCCAGTTTCCCTCAGTGGTTAGAGCATAGGCCCGCGGACCAGAGAGGGCCAGGTTCAGTTCCCACTAAGGGCAGAGCACTTACCTTGGTAAGGGCACTTACCTTGGTTACAGTTTGTCCCTGGCCTGGTTGGGGTCATGTGGGAGACGACCAATTGATGTTTCTCTTTCTTCCTCCGTCTCTCCCTCCCGGTCTATATGAAGATAAATGCAAAAATGTCCTCGGGTGAGGATAATAAAATAAACAAATAATAGCCCTGGCTGGTTTGGCTCAGCAGTTGGAGTGTAGGCCCATAGACTGAAGAGTCACGGGTTCGATTCTGATCGAGGGCATGTACCTCAGTTGCAGGTTTGATCCCTGGCCCTGGTTGGGGTCATGTGGGACACAACCAGTCAGTGTGTCTGTCTCATATTGATGTTTCTCTCTCTCCCTCTCCCTCCTGCTCTATCTGAAAATCAATGAAAAAGTATCCTCGGGTGAGAATTTTAAAAAATAAATAAATAAAAAATAAATAATAAAAACAATTAAAAAAAGTAAAGAAAATAAAATTGTTTCCTCTCTGAGGAGTATGGTTTAAGGATTGGAAACAATTCCAAGACAGGTCTGGAAATGTTGGCAACAGGGGTTTCTGTCGTTCATGTAGTATGTTACTTTTTTTTGAGAGAGAGAGAAACATCGATGAGAGAGAACGTGGATTGGCCAACTCCTGCATGTCCCCAACTGGGGGATTGGGCCCACAACTTGGGTATCTGCCCTGACCGGGAATCAAACTGGCGACCTCTTGGTGCATGGGTTGATGCTCAACCACTGAGCCACATCGACTGGGCTAGTATGCCACTTTTAACATCATTTTTTGAAAATAAAAATTGTAGCCCTGGCTGGTTTGGCTCAGTGGTTGGAGTGTCAGCCTGCGGACCAGAGAGTCTCGGGTTCAGTTCCCGCTAGGGGCATGTACAAAAAAAAAAAAAAGAAAGAAAATAAAAATTGTACATATTTCAAGAATACAATATAATCTTTGATATTCATAGTGAAATTATTACTATAGTCAAACTAGGTTATTATCCCACCTAGTTACAATTTTTTTGTGTGATGAGCACACCTGAAACCTAATGTTAGCAAATTTTCAGTATTCAATACAGTATTAACTGTACACATCACGCTATGTATCGCATGTCTAAATTCCTCTGTCTCTGCGTTTTTTAGAAAATATATTTTTATTAACTTTGGAGCGAGAGGAAGGGAGAGGGAAAGAGAAATATCAATGTGAGAGAGAAAATGTATTGGTTTTCTCCTGCACACATCCTGACCAGGGATTAAACCCACAAGATAGGTTTTGTCCTCTGACGTGGAATCAAACCCGCAACCTTTTGGTGCACAGGAAGATGCTAAAGCTAACTGAGCTACACCAGCCAGGCGTGTCTCTGCTTTTCCATCTTCCTCATTGTTTACTCAAGTTTTAGTTTACCTCTAGCTTCCTTTGGTGAAGAATCCTGATGTCAGGACATCTCCGATTTGCAGCAATTTCACCCCATCTGTGGAACACTTAAAACATATCGTCTTCAAATACAACAATAAAGAAGGCTCAATATGGTTTCTTATTTGTCACTGCCTCCCACGTAATCTCAACACTGCCAAATAAGGCCTCCGGTTTAGTAATTCTCAGGTAAAGAGAGAAAGCTTTGGAGGTGTTCCAGGAGCCCCTGTGGAATACCCTAAAGTTATTCCCAGGTCAAGACTATATTTAAATTTTGGAGCGCTTGTCCAAATTTCCCAAAGGTGTGGACATTTGACTAAACAGGATCCTGGGTCGTTATGAAGCACTAGTCAGTCGTCCACTTAAGCAGAGTGAGGATGAAAGATGCCAAAGACAACGCAGAAGTTTACCTAATTGTTAGCGACACTTCGTTCTGAGTAGGGAGGAAATTCGGCGTTTAAGTAGTCAAGGATGTGAGGAGGACAACCTGAAACAAAGTTGTTTTGTAACGCACAGTCCTTTCACTGTAGGCAGAAAACCTTTTCACGGCCTCAGCAGCAGACCAATTGCCCTCTGTAGGGGAGAGAACC